TTTCTGCCCCTCCCCCCCCCCTTTTTGTTTTTTTTTTTAAAGTTAATGAGAGAAAGTGAACTACTTATGCCCCAGGAGAAAGGCCTGGAGTGGGACAAATGACACTGATGTTCTTTCTATGTCTACCACTCCTCATCTTGGGAATGCTGTAAATGCTCGAGCAAATTATGTCTGCTGCTGTGCTGTTTTTTGGGCATGTTTAGAAACACAGGATAACTGATGAGGTTTCTCACATTGGTATGTTTCTTTATCCCTTTTTAGAAGTACTGTTTTTTATCTTGTGAGTCCGTGAGTTTGACATTGGATGACTTTATGAAACATTCTGCTAATTGGATTTGTTAAAATAAATAAATCAAACACTAATTGGAACGTGCCCTGCCATTATTTTTGCTTACTGAATTAGATATAATGGCGTGAAGTTCTTTTTATCATATTTGTGCACTTATTTAAACACCCCCCTGGCGCACACTTCTGCAAATTCAATTATATATTCAAAGGAGGCATTCAATTTATGCAAGGCTGGTTTACATTTAATCCGGGGGCAAGTCTCGGTAACTGATGATAGGTCTGCTCAAGATTAATTAGCATCACTCAGATGAGCAGTGGCATTGTTACAAGCCTGCAGTGTAAAACAAGGGATATTTTATCCTTCCTATGTGAGCCGTTACTTGTTTCAATATGACTCTTTTGCGGAAGGGAAAAGCTTCCTCCTTGTTTGGGTTTTGTTTGTGAGAAGGGGTCAACACCACATGCATTATCCAACAGTATCAAAGTCATCTCCACTTCCTTTTCTTTTGCCCCAATTGCATTTGTCAGTGTTTAATTTTCAGCCAGCCAGGGGAAAGACTCCAAGAGCCCAGTTTGCTTCCTAAAGTCCTCATTCTTTTTAACAATTTATGAAGATGAGGAACCCCATTTTGGTGAATGTGTAAACATTTCCATTTTCCTCAAACAGCTTTGATGCTGTGGCTAAAATTGTAACATGCAAACCTGGGATCTAAATGCGTCGAGTGGTATATTTTCCTTTCAATTTGAGGATTATTTTTTCTACGTTAATGAATAGCTCTGTTCTGCTGCCAAGTGCTTATGTTTCAGTGACGGATGATTTTGTATTAGGATGGATCTAACCTGTTTTTATTCTTTTTCTTTTTTTTTTTTTCCCCAATCTCTTTATTTCCGGTACCTTTATCTGTAGCTCATATTTAGGTATGCACATAGGCAGTTTGTCTTAGGAAATGCTGAATATTAAGCTTATGTTGATGTCAGTGAGAATAATACATTTGCTAGCTTTAGCCTGTTGGCCCATTTTGGAGTTACTATCCCTACTGAAGTAGACACTTGAAATCTATTACTGAATTTTTAGTTTAAACTGAAATTAATTAGTTGGTGACCAATTGAATTTCTAAGGATGGGTCCCATTAGGTGAGCAGGAGGAGTGCCTGTGCAGGCCTGGCTGCTCTTCAGGGGAGGGTCAGGGAAATACAGCCCCACTTGGCCCTGAGGCTGCGTTGGTGGCTCAAAGTGGATGGTTCTGTGTAAGAAGGAAAAAAAAAAAAAGGGGAAAAAAAAAAAAGTTGTTTGTGCTCTGGGTGCTGGTAGCAGGGAGGGCTGGAGGAGAGGCCGGGGCTGCCCTGTGCCAGAGGCGGCCCACCATGGCCTTTCCCTCAGAGACGTCAGGGAGGGGGACAGCTGGTGTGGCACCGCAGGCTTCGCGGGGAGAAAATGTGTTCAAAAAAGGAGCAAAACACCAGGAAAAAGGGGAGAGGAATTTGAGAAGCTGTCCTGCAGAGAACCGAGGTCAGTCAAGGAGGGGAGAGCATGGCAGGTCCTGAACTCCCCGAGGCGAATTTGGGTGGAAATAGGCATGTTGGCTGCCATGTTCTACAGCCAAGGCAGGACGGAGACCAGCCGCGTAGACTTGGTTGGCAGATGTGGACACAACCCGCTGTGACTGTTAGAATAACCCCCAAATCAGAGATATTCTGGACGTTGAGTTGCTTTCCTTCCCCTTTTTGAAATTTCTTTCCCGTTCCGTAATACAATGCACACTGGTAGTAGTGCGAGGAGTTGCTGACTTTTTAGCTCACGCATCAGTATGGCTGTGGGTCCCACCTGAGTCTTTACTTCACTTTTAATTCTGTTGTCTTTTGAGACTGTACAGCAAGGAGCAGATGGAGACTTCGCTCCTCTTGGTACCCAAGATCCCTGCAGCTGTCTGCTTGTCTGAGCCCTTAAAATTGACTTTGGTTTTGTCTCCTTGTCCTCATTTCCTGCAAATTCACCTCTCCCAGTTCCAATTCTGTTGCTTCTAGTAAATTAATCCTTCTGGTTTATTGCTCTGTCACTCTGCGTTTGGAGGTTTTCTCTACTATGCTTGTCTTTCTTTAAAATGTAGATGTCTTGCTGCTACTTTTAAGGCTCTCTGCGGTTTATCCTTTCCTTCCTTATCCAGTTCTACTACAAGGGTAGCTTTGACTTTCAGACAAGGCATTTTAAAGCTTCCTCGGGCGTTGTCTCTTACCAGTGGAAACTCCTAGATAATTTCCAAAAGTTCTCACCATATCCCTTTTTCAGCTCCTCCTCCAACTTTGTGTACCTCAGCATGTCTAAAATAACCTTTTTAGCTGATTATACCAAGCTATTGACAATTACATTCCCTGTTAAATCAGGATGTCTACCTGGTATTTTGCTACTATTGCTTATTTTGCTTCTGGGACTTTGTAGCAGCACCTGTGCAATTTTCTTTGTGTACATGAGGCCTCCTACAATTGTCTGCCTCAATCGGAGAATTTGTTTACAATCCCTTCAAAGGAATAGCTCAGAGCCAGCGCGGTTATTGTGTGCCGCAGTGTGCTGAACAGAGGCTGTGTGTGTCTCAAGTTGTGCTATTAAAGTGAATCTATCAAAATCAGAACGCCCCACTCGCAGACTGAGAGCGGAGTATTTGAGACTGTCTCTCGTACCCCCTTGCTGTGAAAAAGGTGACTTTCAGTTGCGTTGCATACTCCCACACAATCCAGAAAACCTTTATTTTTCCCTTAGACATTTTAATGAGCGTGTTTAATATTTTAAACTTGAACTCTTTCACCTAAATTAGATTTAAAAAAAATTAGGGAAACAGTTTAAGCGTAATCCTGCCCATTTTGACAGCTGGGAAGGCTTCACAAATACAGTAAATTTAAAGCAAGAATTATTAAAATATTGTAAAATAATGACACTTCAGAAATATTTGTAGTGACTACAGAAACAGTCGAGCTTGCAAGGGTCATAAAAACTGCTGTAGTCAGATGTATTTATAATGAAAATGTACAATATATCAAATTAAATTGGCTTTTTTTTTTTTTAGGACAAGCTTGATCTTTACTCTGTTGCTAAAGAAAAGTTTATTTTGGGGTGTCAGGTGCTCTACCTGAGAAATCCTTCTGGTATATAATTAAACAGAAATAATATGCAAAGTTTTGTAGAACAACTTAGAAAACCAGTTGCAATTGGAGTGCGGGTAAATTCCTTTGACAGAATAAGGATTTAATAAATATTAATGGTATGGTATATATTTGTGTTTGTCATTTATTTGCAGTTCCACAGGAACTGAGACAAGTTTGGGCTTTCTTGGGAGCTAGAGAGTAAAAAATTCATGTGAAACCTGAAGAAGGGCCTTGGTGTCCCCAGTGTTGGACAGTCCTTATTTCAAAGGAACAGTGGATGACGTGCGTACCAGCTATTTAGTGTGTGTGTGTGTGTGTGTGTGTAGGCAATGCAGCCTGTGGGAAGGAGTAGAGTCGGGAACATCTCTGTGGATATAACTGATTAGTGTCAAGAGCAATTGGCAGTTTGGCTGGCAGAGTGAGTTAGTGTTGCCTTGAGCATCGCTCAGTCCTTGCAAGCGCTGAAGTGTTCGATGTGTCCAGTTGACTTGGGAGGACTAGTATCTGCAGAGAAAAATCATCCTTGTTTTCCCTAAGAGGGAAAACCAATGCAGTACACAGACTGTTAGTGTGATTAAGGTCTAACTGAAGGACCCAGGCTGCCTGATCTAATGGATCAGTACTGAAATATGCGTGGCAGGCTAAGTTGGGTGGATGTTAAGAGGAATGTGCCTGAGGACACACCGGTGTAGGAATATCCTACCCGGGAATGAACTAGCTTGATCTGTCTGTGTGAAACAAGTTTCGAAAATCTGTGTTGGCATACAAGATTTCACTCCACTGTTTATGGGTTTCCCTTGATTCACAAGTGTTCAGGCAGCTGCCAGGTTATTTATGACAGTTAACTACTTCCAAGTATTTCAGGAATTACAGTAGGAAAGATCACTTAGTTAACAATCTGGAAGGTGTGAATGCTTGTTGCTATCCTCTTCTTGTTAATCTCTTGTTGGCAAGAAGCTAAAGGGTTGCACTCAAAAGTACTGACCCGTAAGACCTTGAGGGAATGGTCATGTGCCACACAGAGCTTTGTGGTGTTATTCATGAGAGGTGTTTAAAAGGAAAAGGAAGGTTGCACTTTCTGTAGGTGTAACCCAGCCTTCCGTAATTCAAGGCTAAAAAGTGAGGTGAGGGATAGGATTCACTGTAGGAAAAGTGATGCTGTGCTTGTTTATTTGCCTGCTGCCTTTTTTTTTTTCTTTAAGTATCTGACTTGAAGGTTCATGTAATTAAGTATCAGTTACTGGGGCCCAAACACACATATTCCTGCATGTGTGCATCATGTGCAATTGTCCTTGAAAATGTAAAGATAGTAAGTTGAAATAAAAGGAATTGATCTAATTAACAGTAGCATGGAGCAAAGAAAACAAAGGCTTCCAAAAGATACAAAGTGTGGAAAGTTAAAAAATATGTTCTGGATAACTTGTCTGCTGCCTGAAATCTTATATACAGGAAATTAATTTTCTTTTTACTTTCTTCCCTGTGTAAACTTGGGTACAAAATATTAAAGTAAATGAACGGCTGTAAAGAGATATAAATAATTAATAACAGGAATGTATTCATTTTTCTTGGTTTTAGGTGGTTGTTCATTTGATGAGCACTACAGTAATTGTGGTTATAGTGTGGCCTTGGGAACCAATGGATTTACCTGGGAGCAGATCAATACCTGGGAAAAGCCAACAATGGATCCTGCTGTCCCAACTGGTGAGTAAGAAGTCTCAGCAACAGGGGGTGTTTGAGAAACAGCTGTTAGTCCCATGTGGTGTGTACTGGGTCTTAGTACCCACAATGATGGGGTAGGATTTTATTCAGTGATAAAAAGATTGTTTTAAATACAAAAAGTCATCTGGCAACAGAATTCATAAGTGCGAGATGGCTTTTTACAATGTTTACCATTTGATATCCTTGCTGAATCCTTTTATGCTCCTTTTATGCTCTTTATTCCTGCATTTAATAGAGAGAAAATGTTTCAGATATAACATTCCAAGGTTTGGTCAGCTTTTTGCACATTTCAGAATGAGAGCGCTGTCTTATCTGGGGGATGCATGTTTGAGAGGTCAGAAACAGTAAAACTTTGCAATGTCTGGGAATACGGGACCTTCCAGTTACCATTAACCCTTAATGGACTGCTTTTAGTTCTAATTCTAAGAAAAACAAGAAAATTCCTAAAGAATTAACTGTAGTAGCTAGTGCTTGATTAGGCTGGGATTTCATCCAGTGAAATATTTGTATGCAAGAAAAACATTTCCAGCAGAGTGAGTTACCAGAATGTCTAACTTGCTAACTCATATTGAGAACATCCAATAATAGTGTAGCCTTCCGTGCAATACTTGGAATATTCTCCGAAGAGCTCACAGTAATGGTAACTTCCAATAGTTTTGTTTCTTTTTGCAAATTGACATTTTATTGTGTATGAGCTTATATGGGAGTAAGTTCTTTAGCCTTAATAAAAGTGTTGTGGAATGCTTTCCTCACATTGAAAAAGACCTTGGTTTAAGAAAAGCACATTAAAATTTTCTGAAAATCATGGTTTGTGTTTCTTGCCACCTAAAATAGCAGTGCGAGCCCCTTTAAAGCTGTGGACACAATGGCAAACATACCTGACCAGCCCGTTAAGGCTTTGATTTCGGTCCTAAGAAAGAAGTGTTTGTTCTGGTTAGGGTATCGCACTCTGAGAAGCATGAGCTACATGGCAGAAGCAGAATATAATGTTGTTCAAGAGATATTCTTAGGCCTGTAATTACTGGAGTAAGATGCTTGTAATTGCCGGCTGCCCGTTAAGGATACTATAGAGCGGGTAGAACAATACTCCCTGCTGGAGCCATTCATAGGCAGCTCAGTCTTCCCCCCATATGCTCCATGTCAATACAAAACAAGTGCAGAAGATACCAGCCTAGCTGTGCTTTCTCTGTAACCAAAGGTTGGTTAAGTTTTGTTGTGGGTTTTTTGTTTGGTTGGTTTTGTGTGGGGTGTTTTTTTGTTGTTGTTTGTTGCTTTTTTTTAATTATAGCTTAGATTTGAATTTATTAGGAATGGGATCTTTCAGAGTGCTTGGCACCTAGTACTGCTTGACTTGGCTATGGCATCCCCAAAGAAGTTAATTGTGAAAGTTGCAGTTTTCTGGTCTTGTCTGTAAGAATGTATTTCATTGTTCTGGGTGTTGGGTTTTTTTAATGATGGCAATTTTATCTCTGTGGTTCCTCTGCTTCTACCCTGTTGTGTCCTATTCCCTGTCCCTGGTAAAGATTTAGCTAGAGAGAAATGACAGGTTTTTGAATTAATTGATCCCAGCGTGATCTGAAGGGATAGGAACACACACAGTTTTGATGCAATTTGGAAAGCGAGGAATAAATGGGAGGGCTTACGTGGCTTGAACTGGATGAGTTCAATACTTTGTTGACTCTAAACGTTAAGGTAAATCTATCTTCCTGGCCTTTATATGAAGGTGTATTGTTATCTTAAGTACACTGGAACCATAGAGAAACAAACAAAGGTCTGGAATGGCATAGTAAAGAACAAAACCACACACAAAACAAACAAACAAAAAATAAGCATAAACACACCCCCAAAACTACAATGTAATTTTTAACAAGGCTTTCAGTATTATTTTTTCTAAAACTAAATAAATAGAGGTGCGTGTTTTCTCCCGTAGTACATCATTCCATGATACCTAGTAGCACTAATAAATATAGAAAGATAAGCAGCAGCAAATTTAATAAAGGTTCAGCATCAAATAAGAAATGCAGAAAGCTTTATTTTAGAAAGATGCAAAGGTAAAGCAGCCATCAATATGGAATGTGCTGGTAAGGAAATATAATCTAAAGAGATCGTAAGGAGCATTAGGGGAAATGACTCAGTTCCTCATGTTACTAATTGATGTCTTAGGACCATTCACACAGAATAATAGACAAAATCAGTAGGTAGAAAAAGATCGACCACAGCAAACAGGCTCTAGGAACAAAAACATGTTTTCAAGAGCTGTCCAAGTCATGCTAACCTTGAAGTAAATTATAGTGGTCAATTAGACTGCCCCAAGCTAGCAGAGACGTTAGAGCTATTATTGATAGTCTGTATTGCTGGACAGAATGGTAATGCATGTTGTTTTTATTGGTTACTCATTGAAAAATCTGTTTTGTAAGAGTAGAAGATGTTTACTTAAAATTCATGTAGTGGCCAAGCCAGGCGAATAAACTGATGAACAGCACGTTCCGCTCCTACAAGCAGGGCCATCTTTAAAACCAGAGTGCTAGAACCTTTGGTGATTGACTTTCCATTCCATGTAATTTCTCCACCACAGCTGAAAGCAGCAGGGTGTAAATCCACTGAGCTGCAGGGTGTAAGAGGTGGTAACAGAGGTGGTTGTGGAATAAGCATCTTCTGGTGCCCAGCTGTAGCCAGGAAAGCTCCTTATCGCGCCGAGTGGCGCCTGGAGTGCCAGAATGCATAGGGTTCTTAGAATGCAAGCAGTAATGCAAATTTTCTTCATCAGGGTGATATTTTAGAGACTACTTTCTTTTTGTAGCTGGAAATAGATTTAAATACTATATTGTGGAAATGGTAAAAACAAAAAGTGAACAGGCGTTAGGGTGGTTCAGTGGTACTAAACAAATCTGCAACGCAGCCTGCTGGGGGAGGTTGGCAAAAAGCATGGCCTGCCCCCACCGTGGTCAGCCAGCCGACATTACCATTGCCATCAGAGCTGTTTTGTTCTCTAAGATGTATCGGCTTTCATAAGTACCGGCAGGTCCCTTTGAATTCAACCAAACCGCAGAATTCTGTCCTCCTGAATACTAATGATAATATCTAGCACTTTTTACAGTACTTTTCATCGCTAGATCCTCAGAGTGCTCTTCAAAGGAGGTCAGTACCATGAATGAGAGCCGGAGTCTATAGTGCTGTGTAATTCTCTGCTGACATAGTGCTGCAAAGGTCTCTGCCCAGGGATGACTTTCTATTCTCTATTTTTTGAATTAAAATGTTGACAGAAGAAAAAAAAAAAAGGGTCATTTAAACTGCTCCATTAGCAATGTAGTTTGTAGGCAATTTGTTTTACTCCATTGCTAGCAGATAAGCTGTTTTCTGTGAATTCTGTGATTAATTCCTTAGGGCTGGAAACAGTGTTAATTGGGGGATTAAGAACCAGATGTTTGTTGTTCTGAATAAATGTTTCAAAAATGTGAAAGAAATGAATTGCAGGTATCCAGTCCCCAGACTTTGGTGGGACTCTCATTCCGCCTCCTTGTGTAATAGCAGGAGTGATTATAACAAAATATTCTTTAACAGATGGGTGTTTATTTAAGCCTGAATACCCTCAGTGATGAGTATTCTACAGTCTTTGGGCTGCTTATTCCACTTTGAGTTATAAAGATTCTTGGTCCTTCATTTTCCTTTTTATGGCTTCATTATTTTTTGTTCCATCTTTGACTAGGGAGAATAATCAGTTGTTGCTCTCTTTTATAACCTTTTGTATAGTTGCATGCAGTTAAGTCTTTGTTTTGCAGGACTAAACATGACCCACTCCTTTTAACCTTTCTTAATTCAGTGCCTCATTTCCTTCCCTTTGCCCTATGCCTTCAATCATTGCTTTCTTATCTTTTTCGGGTATTTGCCGTAAGCTGTCTTATCAAGCAGGGATTCAATATTCTGCATGACAGTGCTGGAGGGGCACAAGACTTTAATTCTGTTATACAAGTTCCAAGTACAGCAAGTAGATTTCTCCTGCTCCTCTTTATTTCCTTCTTGCAGTTTTCATTCCCCCTTTTCTGTAAGTATTCAGTCTTTATGTGCTGGAATTTGCAAAGCAAATTTGACGCTGTTCCACATGACGTGCTGGTCTCTAAATTGGAGAGACATGGATTTGACCTATTGACCACTCGGTGGATAAGGAACTGGCTGGACAGTCGCACTCAAAGAGTTTCGGTCAACAGCTCCATGGCCAAGTGGCAGGCGGTGACAACTGGTGTGCCTCAGGTCAGTGCTGGGACCGGTACTGTTTAACATCTTTGTCAGTGACATGGATGGTTGGGATGGAGTGCACTCTCAGCAAGTTTTCCAACGACACCAAGCTGTGAGGAGCAGTCGACGCGCTGGAGGGGAGGGAATACCATACAGAGGGACCTGGACAGGCTGGAGAGGTGGGCCTGTGCAAACCTCATGAAGTTCAACAAGACTAAGTGCAAGGTTCTGCGCGTGGGCTGGGGCAATCCCATGGCCAAATCCAGGCTGGGTGGAGAATGGATTGAAAGCAGCCTTGAGGAGAAGGACTCGGGGGTGTTGGTTGATGAGACACTCAACATGAGCCGGCAATGCGCGCTCACAGCCCTGAAGGCCAACTGTATCCTGGGCTGCATCAAAAGAAAGTGTGGCCAGCAGGGCAAGGGAAGGGATTCTGCCCCTCTACACTCTTGTGAGACCTCACCTGGAATATGGCATCCAGCTCTGGAGTCCTCAACATAAGAAGGACATGGACCTGTTGGAGGAGGATCCAGAGGAGGCCACGGGGATGCTGCGAGGGCTGGAGCACTTCTGCTATGAAGATAGGCTGAGAGAGTTGGGGTTGTTCAGCCTGGAGAAGAGAAGGCTCTGAGGAGACCTTATAGCAGCTTCCCAGTATCTGAAGGGGGCCTACAAGAAAGCTGGAGAGTGACTTTTTACAAGGGCATGTAGTGATAGGATGAGGGGCAACAGGTTCAAACTGGAAGAGG